CTCAGTTGCACCTATCTTTTTATGTATGAAATTATAAGAAAAACTGTGTTTTCCATTCACAGATTGACCTAATTACCTTTGAAATCCAGTCATGAAATATTTCTAGCTCACTAAGAGAACCATTCCTATATTGCCTCCCTGATACCTACTCACAAATGCACTTCTTATTTAATATAAATGTAAAATTTATGCATAGCATGTTAAACTTTGCTTCATTTATATAATAGTACTAAGACAAAATTTAAAGCCGTGAGTTGTTACAAAGTTAAAAGCTATAAATAGTCTGAACAAAAAGATAATTCAGCTAAACCACTTAAGACTGATTATTAAAGAGTCCAGTAAACAAGCATTTAATGCAGAACATTTCACAATTTTCATCTTCAGGCTGGAACGTCCTTTCAGAAAGAAGAGATTACCACCAGCACTTTGAATTATTTGAGAAATATTTTAAACGGTAGATTTGTTTCTGCATTTCTTAGTGAAAATTTGACCAGTATAACATCTGCTATACTATTGTGTGTTGTAGTAAATTAAAAGGAGGGTATTGGTCTATACAATATTATTAATTTCCCTATGATTATTGCAAAGGTATTATTTAATCTGTTTTCATAAAAATAAGACTTAGAAATCTGTTAAGTTTTATAATTGACTTATTTATATTGGTCTGGGCAGATATTTTATCTATGCTGTCTCAATAACCTCATTATCCATCTTCCAGCCCCCATCCAATGGTACCCGCCTTAATAACTTTTGTTTGGGTTATCTTCCATCCATAATCCCAAGATACTTCTTTATTTTTTTATCTTTTTTTTCCCAACCATTTCATCCTTGGAGTCTTTCCTTCCTGTCCATGTGCTTTCTTCTCCATGCTACTTTATCATGGCATCCTTGATTCCTCTCTTCCTGTCTGTTTGCCTTTTTCTTGTGATTTTCTTTTTCCCAAAGCCCAGGGAACCTCACCCATGTTTACCCCATTCTGCCCTGCCCAGGTTTTAGGCCTTTAATCAACCAATCGGGTATAATGTGTTAGGCAGGGATACACAACAAGGATAGGTTTATCGAGGCAGCAACCAGTTCTTGAGGGCCAGTAATTAGCATGAAAATACAAGTATCAGACCAAGCCCCAACAACTGTGCTTAATTTTATTCCTTAAACTCTAGGGCTACACTAACACTTTTTTAAACTTAAAGAAAACACAACATGAATTAAACATATATTCCAATGATGCATTTTTTAATGTCTTTTCCTGCCTAACTCTTCAAATCTAATCCAAATTGTGAAAAGAGAGTCGTATTTTGAGTTTATATTTCTACAAAGCATTTTACTGTTCATAGAGGTCTCAAATACTTACTTACAATACAGGAATATGGATATCTTGCACCCCAATGCATTTATGTCCACCATGAAGATCTGGATAAACTTTAAGATTCTTAAAGTTCATATCTGAATATCTTCTTACATTTCACTTGCTTTACTTTCAGAATATCATAATACTGAGTCTGTAAGCAGTACAGATTTATAAATGAACATATACTAACTAGTGCTAAGTGTCAGTTTCTTTTTTACATCAATAGTTACCATAGCCAGTAAAGGCAATAATGTCTTTCTACATTACTGATGTTTAAGGATAAATTAAACACTTTCCAAGTAAAATTTTGTGCATGAACAAAAGTTAATAATTTTAGTAACAATAAAAATGGAGTGTGCTTGTAACTTTAGGTGCTATATGTTTGTAAAACACTATCAGGGCCATATAAATACATGTAGAGAGCTATATTTCAGTCTTTGTTCATCATAGCACAGAAACCTAAATGCTTCATATATATGAAAATTGTTTTGAAAGTTGTTTCGAAGTTTTATTCAAATGGGAGGGTGAATAAAACTGCCTTTGGTTTTTTCTAGAAATCCCATCTCTCTCTTTATCATACCCAATTCAATTATAACTGGTGAAATAATTATTAATGAACAATGAATCAGAGAAAGAGACAAGGACTGCTCTTCCTGAACAGACTGGACTTTCTCTGTGTTTATTTACTACTTAGCAAGTGTTTTAGCCAGCTAGTACAGTGTCCAGATCCGGCTTGCCTACCTGAATTTAAAAAGCTATTATTAAAATAATCAATATTGAAAAGAGAGAGAGAAGGAGGCAGTAAATGGGAGGGTTTGGAGGGAAGATAGGGATAGAAAATGTGCAAAAATATCTTAATTTCAAAAATATTAAGTAATCAAACAAAAATGAAGTATTATTCATGAGGTTTGTGCAAAAATAAAAGGTAGACTCTTTAAAGCTTAAGTTGTAATTAAAATGAAAAAAGAGAAAACAAATACTGTGTAGTGATTGACAGCTACACAACTGTTTTTATTCCAAGTTACTAAAAGTTCACTGTTAATTTATATCAAAGTATATTATACTTTAAAAACACAGTACTATCAATACAGGAATTAAATACTGAATGTAATAATTTATAACATTTACATCATTATGTACTGCCAGAATATTAAATATTGCAATTGATGTTTTAATTGCAACATTTAGATACACAAGTCTTGGGTAGAGGAATGAACAAGCCTTGTAGAGTTTACAAAAGTTTTCAGTTATGTGTTCTTTAAAACTTCATGAAAAACATGCTTAGTCATGTATGCTCTATCATTCAAAAACAGACCAAGGCTGCACAACTGCAGGGTGCCATAGGTTAAACATGCCCTATAAATATTTTGTCCTGGAAATAACTCCCATTCTTCTTATATAAATAGCCTGTTCTGAGATTTAGTTCTAGTATATACACTGCCATATGCGAGCCTAGGATGATGATGTCCACAGAAAGTTAGTTGACAATATCACATCATTTACCACTCATAAATTTCAGGCTTGTGTTGAGATTTTTACCCAGATAGGCCTTGGAAGTGAATGAAACCCTCCAAGCATCAAATAAAGAAGTTATCTCGTCGTCTGTTTTGTTGCATTTTTAATCCTTTATGAAGTACTTTTCCCTGACACACACACACACACACACACACACACACACATATGTATATATATATATATGATATATATATACATATATATAATGAATACACAGAAAAACCAACACACTCCTCTATTTGCATTCCCAATTCTAGCGAAAACCTAGAGAGAGGTTAAATGTTGTCCTGTATATTTTCTTGCTCTTAAAATCCCTAAATAATAATAATGCAAAAAACTAAGGTCATGAGTAGTGGCTTCTGGTTTATTTTGTCCAAAACAGTGAGTGCCCTGACACACTCCTATGACCCACAGAGACAAAATTTTGTCTAGCTACCTTTCTCTTAGTATCATCCTGTAAACAAAACAGTCTGTACCTTTTGGTGCTATTGGTTTCCTGTGTCAACTACCTTTAAAAAAATACAAAGCAGGGGTGTGCTAAGAGGAACTGGTCTAAATTGTTCATTTTTGTTAAAGCATGATAATGTTGCAAATGAAAACATAACCAACCAAACACAGCAGGTAAAAGGATAACAAACGAACAAACATCTTTAGAGTTGGATCTCAGGGCATAACCCTTCCATCTGCCAGCTAGTTGTGAAATAAGGGAGGCTTAGGAAAACCCTGCAAACACAAACAAGTTTCCTGACCCATCGGTGCCTACCCCCACTCTCAGGACCTTGGCAATACCGTGTTCTGTTTGCGGAGAAACATACAGGAAACAATTCATCACCGGCAAAACGAACTCTGACCATGGATCATACTAACAGGCTTTGGATTCGTGCACTGATGTAATGCTGGGAAGACTCCTCTCAGTGGGGCTGGAAATGACAGGAAGATAATCTCTAGAGGCCAATCATGAGAAAGACCTCAAATCTCCTTCCTCTTTACTTCGGAAACCTTGTTACAATTTCAAATTTAGGATACGGTTGCTCCTCCCCTTATCTTTCCAGGGAGACCACCACCACCTTAGAAGTTTTCCTTCTTGCAGCTGGAACCGCAGAACAGCACCGGGAGCCCACTCGCAGAGGAGCAAAGCACCCTAGGCATCCCCCAGCCACCAGAGGCAGCCAGGTTGAAAAGGAGACACCCCTCAGGCACGCAGGCAGCCTCAACACCTCTCCAATCCATCTCACCCGAGCGGGGAGGGGCTGAGTACGGGAGGAGGGGGTGGGTACTGGCGGGGGAGGGGAAAACAATCCCAGTTCTGAAGAGCCAGGATGCCAGTGGCAGGACTACAAAGCATACATAGCACACAGAGGTACACACATACGCACGCCCCAGTAAGCCCTACAGCTCAGGTTCAATGCCAAGTGAGGACAGAATTCAAGGAAGGAAGTGAAGAATGGCGACACTCGGAGTGGCGCGAAGGCCCAGAGTTGCTGGAAACATTTGGGAAAGGGCAGGAGATGCTTCAGGAATCGTGAAAGTGAGAAAGTCCCAGACATCTCCTCTTCCACAAAGCTGAATTCTCCGGTCAGTACCCAGAGTCGCCCTCTTCTTTTAGTGGGGCTTGAGAAGAGAGGAAGGGAACCGGAGCCGAGCTTCCCCTCCCAGTGCCCTCCCTGGCCTGGCCCAGGGCCCAGAAGCCGCCCCCCTTCAGCTCGGCTTCCAGGGGCTGCCAGGCCGTGAGGTGACTTGCCAAGGGACTCCGGGGGAAGCAGCAGGGCAGGCGAAGAGCATCGCACCAGCTCGGGCCAGCCCGTGCTCACGTCTTCTCTCGTCGACACACCCCCAGTTAACCCCTTCCCCTGACACCGCTGACAGTCCGGGGCAGGCAGTCGCTCGCCTCCCTCCCTCCCACCATCCTGCCGGGTCTATCGATTAAAACACTAGTTGATTTCCGTCTGATTAAAAAAGGAGAGAAAGTGCTACAACTCTTCTCCCGAGTAGCCAGAGCAAAGGAAGTCGGTCTGCAGGCATCCCTCCGTACTTGCTGGGAGTTTGGAAATGCTAAGGTCCCAAGCGAAAAGGGGGACCGGAACCCACCCGAGGGGCGCGGGGAGCCCCACTCCCTTCCCACCCCTGCGCCTCTCACCTCCTTAAGTTCTTTGGCCACGTCCTTCAGGTCGCCCAGGACTAACTCCAGATCCTCCACTATGATCTTGATCTGCTCCTTCACCTTGGTTTTGGAGGCTGCCGGCGGTCCCTCGGCTGCAGAGGACGAGGAGGGGTTCCCCTTGGACTTGGCTGACATTCTTCGGGGGGGCGAGCGAGCCAGGTCAGGACAGGCGAGCGAGCGGAGGCTGCTGCGCGCCCGGGTCCCTGGCGCTGCTCCGGCCGCTCCCACCCCGGTCCCCCCACATGTCGGCTGCTCGGCGGACGGCGGCGGGTGGCTGCGCCGTGCGCTCGGCCCGGCGGCCGCACCGTGGTGCTGCCATCAACTCCCCGAGACGAGGCGCTCGGCGTGGGGCTGCAGACGGGCGAGCAGCGCGCCTGCGCCTCCTCCCGCCGCCGCCCGCCGCTCGCACGCACACTCGCGGGTGGAGAGGGGCCGCGCGGCGCCGCCGGGGTGGGGGCGGGGGGGCTGTCAGCTGGACCGCCCCGGGCACATCCCCCTGGGGTCTCTCCCGGACTTCCTCAGCTCCGCCGCGCCTGGGGACAAGTTTGCGAGTTGTCCACCCTTACATCCTCATTCCGAAAGGTCCCTATCACCGCAGCCCGCGGCTGCGTGTCTTCTCCCAGCCAGCCCAGCCTCCTTCGGCTGCGCCCTCCAGCAAAGACCTCGCTTCGTTCGTAGGGAACCACTGTGTGATCAGAAGCTCGAGTCCCAGTCTGTAAAGTGACCCTAAATGTCTATCCAGTGCCAAGGAATATTCAGAGACCTTCAGTCACTCTCCCGGTGACCAAGTTGAATAGACTTCTGTTTCTGCCGCGGGTCCGGATGCGGGAAAGGGAGGGTGCTGCAATGGGGCAGTGGACACAGCTAGGGAAACTCAACACCTGAAACACTGAAAATCTACTAGGGTGTTTGGAAGAGGTCGGAGAGCATTGCTGACTCTACAAAGCCAATGGCAGGTTTATTAATGCAGTCACCCTAGAAATTCCCCTTGAGACTGCCTGAGTCATCTTGGTTGTGTCTTATCTATGCCAACTCTTTTTTCCCCCCTTTTTCTCTTTTTGTGACCGATGCTAGAGTACGTTTTTGATGATGGACATCTCCAGTGAAAGTGTAGTAAGAATTTGCCTCCAACTTCTCTTCTATAAATGGATGTGTCTTCTAAGACTTGTGAATCTAAACAAATAGGAAACAACTTTGAGATTGTTTAGGGGAAGATACCTAGAAAAGTGAATTAATAGGATGCCTTTAGCTCACTCTCAGGAGGTGGCTGCCATCTCATTAGCTCAAGTTTTAATTTCCTTAGAAGCACATCCACGGGCTGTTAGTTACTGACCTAGCAAGGTGCCTCTACTCTGCTACTCCTCCAAACATTCCCTTTATAGGTAGGCTTCTCATCCTGGCCCTGCCTTAGCTCAGTTCCTGCTCTTGCTTCTCACCCTTCATGTCTGGAGGCCATGCTTTCAACATGAAGAAAACCTGACAGCTCCTCTCTTTCCAATTTCCGGGCTAATGACCAATCTCTAAGAGAGTAGTTCCTCTGCAATTGTGTATGTAAATTGTGATTGAAGGAAAAGGAGAGAGAGAGAGAGAGAGAGAGAGAGAGAGAGAGAATGAAAGCATAGACATTACAAAATTGGGTCAAACTAGTGGGAAATCAGAAAAAAAAAAAAAGCTAACAAAAACAACCAAACAATTAAGAGACACAGAAGGAAGGTGGGAAGCAGTTAACAGTATCAGAGAAATAGAAAGGTAAAATATTAAAAGAGCCAGTTTGCAAACAACATAGGGGAGGGGGAGCAGAAAAATATTTAAAGTGTTAAATGACTAACATGCTGGAGTTACTGAAGCAGAGGGAAATAATTGGGTGGTCCTCTCTTACCTCTTTGAATTTCTTTATGAAGCTGTATCAGTAGAACTAGTTGTATCCAGTTTACAAACACCACCGCTGCACATTCCAAGTCACTTTTTTTTTTTTTTTTTTTTTTTTTTTTTTTTTTTTTTTTTTTTTTTTGTATCTGAGGAAAATAGATGTTAGAGATGGCAGGAGCTAAGGTGAGAAAAAAAAAAGGAGAAAACAATCATGATCTAGATTCAAATATTTGAGTCCTTGTAGTGAGTGGGGAAGTCTAAGAACTCAAAACACAATGATCTTACAGAGGGTAATGGAGAAGAGGAGATGTGATATCCCTGTGCATGATGACTAATTCTTGTAAATTCTGATTTTATTTTCTCAGAAGAAGGGATGAGATGAGAGCCATACCCAAGCTTTATGAATACATGGCTTGGGCTGAGTCCAGAGTATTTTTATCTCTGTGCTATCTCTTCTTAAGCCTAGGCCTGGAAGCTTATAACCTCTGTATGATCTAATCTTCTGTAAGCCTGGACCTTGAAGGCTTCAGCTTTCAGCCTCCATCTGCTAACCCAGGCCTAAAATGTTTTCGGCCTTTGAGACTTATTGCTGAATTAATCCACCTTTTCTAGTTCTCTCTGAACTCTACGGCTGGCTCAAACTTCTCTCCAACGTTACTGATTCAAATTGGCCTCTCTCAGCTTATGACTAAATTGCTCTGCTTGAAAATACTGCCCCTGAACTCCCCAAACTGAACTGCACTGACTGGACAAAGTGAACAGAAGTGAATAAACTCAACTGAACCACGTGTAACTGCACCAAACTGTACTGTTCTCCTGAACTCTACTCTACTGTCTCCATGAACTCCCTGCTCCCCTGACCCTTCTCTCTCTGATCTACTCTTAAGTAGCTTCTCTTTCCTGTCTGTCCTCCTGAGAGTTGGGCATATCCTATCTCTGACTCATTCTGTCAAATCTTTCTCTGATTCATCACTTTCTCTGACCCTCAATTAGATATCATTGTTTAGGATTAAAGGTATATACTAAATTTCAGCCAGAGGGATATATATATATATATATATATATATATATATATATATATATATGTATAAAGGTATGTATGTATTATTAAAAGTATGTCTATATTAAAGGCATCTCTATATTCCAGCTGGATCACACAGACCTAGGTCTTTGGTTGTGATCTTTGCCAGAGCAGCCATGTTGCTAGATTAAAATTTCTCTACAAATTCTCTCAAAATACATGTAAATGTTAGGCTACTTGAGATCTTTCCCTAAAGATTGAACAGAACAGAAACAATTCCAATCTGCCATAATGATTGGAATCTATTGGTACTGCTACTGAACCAAACTGTTGCAGTTCAAAATCAAATCACTGCCACGCTGAGCATATTTTTGAATTCCCAATCACATCTTTCTCAAAAAAAAAAAAAAAGAAAGAAAAGAAAAAAAAATGACCTTGTCTACATCTATGCATATTATACAGCAACTAAAAGTAGAAAGTTGAAATTGTCTTTAGGAGCCAGCTTTAACTCATCCTAGACTCCTTCAGACATCAGTGTGCATGATGGTTGAAGAGTCAAACTATAGGGACCAAATGCATACACACCTAGTAAGATTTCTGATTAATATTTCTGTAAATGTGCCTATAAACTAGTGTTAGTGGTACATGAGAGCATACTCCATACCTCACCATAAACTTAAGACAACAGACTTAAAAACAGATAGATGTTCCTCTCAGTTGATGGACTGATTTTATGGCCAGAATTTATGTGTGTGTGTGTGTGTGTGTGTGTGTGTGTGTGTGTGTGTGTGTGT